ACAAATGAAAACGATATTTTTTGGGTGAATATGAGGATATATCAAACATGCGACTAACATCAATTGTACATTAAACACTAGTAATTTAGGATTGATATAGTATATTTAAATATTCAGTTAGTTCACATACCTCTTCTCTCAATCGAGCATTTTCGAGACGGAGCTGATGTTCGTCGAAGGACATTTCTCCAATAGCTGTTGGACCACCACAATTAGGACATGAAGCATTTGCAAGAGCCTCTCGATATCTAAGGTTGTCTCCTCGAAGCTTTTCATTCTCTGCCCGAAGATGCGAGTTCTCATGACGCTCATGATGATTCTGCGCGATGAAAAAATCATATTTCGGTTGTCTCTATAGTCTTTTAAATTAAATTAGAAAAACCATAGTTTCTAGTTTGAGTAAGATGAAGCAACAAAGGATTTTACTAAAAGAGGATATAAGTATATGTATGCACACGTATAATACACTTGTGTACACGTTTTGTGTTTCACCGTATTTGCATAACGTAAGCACATGTGTCCAAAACGTTCCAATCTATGTAGATTATGGCTCTAACTTAACTAATAAATGAGACATTGTTTCAACCGAACAACTTTTTTCTATGGCTGAATCTACCAAAATAATAGTTCTGCCAAATAACAACTTTTCAATTGAAGGAAAAGTAAGAAAATCAAGTCATTTGTTTTAATTAGATCTAGAAATCAATCTGCCAATATCTAGCAAAAAAAAAGAATTAATTCCAAATGAAACACCAATTAATCCACCCAAAAACTTGTCATTAGGTAGGCCTATGTTATGGAATTCCCTAAAATCTTGTAAAATGGGTGATAGTGAGTTCAAATGCATAGATTTAATATGAAATGAATCATAATTTCACAAGTGCATATATTTACTCTAATATAGATCCATAAACGTATACCTTCATTTGTGTGCGTTTGTTCTGGAACCAGAATTTGACTTGAAGAGGTTCCAAACCCAATTCACGGCTAAGTTGTTTTCTTTGCTTGTCATCAGGGTGAGGACACTCTTTGAAGAATCTATTTAACCATCAAAATAAAAATTATAGTTTGTCAAAAAATAAAGAAAATTGAAGGAAGAACATGAAGTTCACATACGCTTCCATCTCTTGGATCTGAAGTTGTGTGTGTCGATGATATCGTTTCTTCTTATTAGGATGATGAGGATCTTGATCGTTTCCTGATCCTCCTTCTTGATTCTCACTTCCTGATTTAGTATTCGCACTATCGAACTCATCGTCACGAAGAAACCCTTCATTGTTGTTGTCTTCATGGTTATAGTTGTGGTTATTGCTATCTGCGTTGTTCATAGCCGCAAGCAACATATTTGGCTCGAACATCTTTTTCTTCTTCTTACACTAAGCAAACCCTAAAAACAAAAGGAGTAGACAGTTTTGTCAAATATCGGGAAAAAAAATTAGGGTTTGTTCTTGGATGCGAGAGTCAAGAAGAAGAGAAATTTCTCCAAGACTGTGAAAAGATTATGGCAATACTTTTTCCACGTCAACAACTTCAGTCTTTTATCTTTCTTCTTGACGATATTACAAAAAGGATATAAGCAAATAAGAAAACGAAAAAAATTGAAGATGATTGTAGGAAATAAAGGACCCACTAATTGAAAGCAAGAAAAAAGAGCCTTGC